ATTACGAGCTTGTAGAGAAACACATTTCTTTGTCAGCAACCCATTCCACTCATTTGATGTCTGCAAATGTCCTGAAAATGACAGCTTCTCTGACCTTCTAAACAGTAAAGGAAGCTTCACAAATAATACCATGTATACAGTCAGGAAGGGAAGAGCAGTGGATGAGTTCTTCCATATTCCGCTTATGCCTGTTAGCATTACAGAGATTGTTATAAAACATTTTACAGAGAAGAATACCATATATAATATATTATATAATTTAACTGCTCCGGGGGGCTGAATGACATAGGACGCTGTTGAGAGGAGCATCCAAGGTTTTGGCAGGACATCCTGACTCAGTGTCATAGGTAGAACGCTGAGTAGATAGCAGGGAAGCCGAGACGGCCATGATAACGGGTAAGTTGTGGTAGCTGTGATGGTGGTGAGAGCCGATTCTGGGCTGAAAAAAGTCTGATGAGTGGAGACAGCATGATGCAAGCAAAGCAACAACATAATTTAGGCTAAGCACGGAGGTGACACCAGGGGAGCTGTAATGGGATACCAGAGATAACAAGCGTAAAGCGTGGCAGGTGGAGGTAAGAGGGCTGCAATATTGCTGAAACCCTTTTATATTTTTCCTCCTACTCATACTGTTGATATTATTGAAAGTCTGTTAGAGACTATGGGGGAAGAAAAATAATAACAAGAACACTAGTAAGGTGTAATACTGTATTAAAATAACACGAAATAACTGATGTGAAATACATGGACATATTCACTAAGCAGTTATTTTGACGTATAACCCTGGTTTATAATTCATTTTGATAATACAAGCCACGTGCTTCTGTGAACACATAACAATATGGCAATAAAAAAAAAAAAAACAAACAAAAAAAAACTAGACAGATTAAAAAAGAAATAAAAAGATTCAAAACATGCAAACAAGATTTCCACACTTTTTTCCCCCCCAAGGAATAAAAAGAACAGATATAACAAGCAATACCTCAACTGGAGCAGTAGAGAGTGATTTGGATCTATCGGATAGACTCTCATTTGGCTCTTATAAACAAATCTCACAGACAGAGCTTATACAGCCAGAACCTTGCTCAATAACCCAGGAATACTTGCAAGAATGTATGTCCACGCAACTTTGCTTGTTTAAGGAAGAACTAAATAAATTGCTCTCATCTATAAAGGAAGATATTTCTGTACTAGGTGAAATAATTAAAATAAAATTAGCAAAAGAATGATGCAATAATGTTCGAATTAAAAAAGGTCCAAGAAGAATGTGTTTCATTAAAGAAAAAAGTTAAAGAAGTGAAAGAAAAATCGACTGATATGGAAGATAGAAGGCGAAAGAAGAATTTAAAGATTTGAGGCATGAAAACATAGAACCTCATAAAATAACAGAATTTCTACTAGATCTCTTTAACCCCTTAGTGACCAGACTGTTTTCAATTTTCTTACCGTTAAGGACCAGGGCTGTTTTTACATTTCTACAGTGTTTGTGTTTAGCTGTAATTTACTCATTTACTGTACCCACACATACAGTTGCAAGAAAAAGTATGTGAACCCTTTGGAATGATATGGATTTCTGCACAAATTGGTCATAACATGTGATCTGATCATCATCTAAGTCACAACAATAGACAATCACAGTCTGCTTAAACTAAGAACACACAAAGAATGAAATGTTGCCATGTTTCTATTGAACACACCATGTAAACATTCACAGTGCAGGTGGAAAAAGTATGTGAACCCTTTGATTTAATAACTGGTTGAATCTCCTTTGGCAGCAATAACTTCAACCAAACGTTTTCTGTAGTTGCAGATCAGACGTGCACAATGGTCAGGAGTAATTCTTGACCATTCCTCTTTACAGAACTGTTTCAATTCAGCAATATTCTTGGGATGTCTGGTGTGAATCGCTTTCTTGAGGTCATGCCACAGCATCTCAATCGGGTTGAGGTCAGGACTCTGACTGGGCCACTTCAGAAGGCGTATTTTCTTCTGTTTAAGTCATTCTGTTGTTGATTTACTTCTCTGCTTTGGGTCATTGTCCTGTTGCAACATCCATCTTCTGTTGAGCTTCAACTGGTAGACAGATGGCCTTAAGTTCTCCTGCAAAATATCTTGATAAACTTGGGAATTCATTTTTGCTTCGATAATAGCAATCCGTCAAGGCCCTGACGCAGCAAAGCAGCCCCAAACCATGATGCCCCCACCACCATACTTCACAGTTGGGATGAGGTTTTGATGTTGGTGTGCTGTGCCTTTTTTTCGCCACACATATTTCTTCCAAACAACTCAACTTTGGTTTCATCTGTCCACAGAATATTTTGCCAGTACTGCTGTGGAACATCCAGGTGCTCTTGTGCAAACTGTAAACGTGCAGCAATGTTTTGTGTGGACAGCAGTGGCTTCCTCTGTGGTATCCTCCAATGAAATCCATTCTTGTTTAGTGTTTTACGTATTGTAGATTCGCTAACAGGGATGTTAGTATTTGCCAGTGCCTTTTGTAAGTCTTTAGCTGACACTCTAGGATTCTTCTCATTGAGCAGTCTGTGCTGTGCTCTTACAGTCATCTTTACAGGACGGCCACTCCTAGGGAGAGTAAAAGCAGTGCTGAACTTTCTCCATTTATAGACAATTTGTCTTACCGTGGACTGATGAACAGCAAGGCTTTTGGAGATACTTTTATAACCCTTTCCAGCTTTATGCAAGTCAACAATTCTTAATCGTAGGTTTTCTGAGAGCTCTTTTGTGCTAGGCATCATTCACATCAGACAATGCTTCTTGTGAAAAGCAAACCCAGAACTGGTGTGTTTTTTTATAGTGCGGGGCAGCTGTAACCAACACCTCCAATCTCATCTCATTGATTGGACTCCAGTTGGCTGACATCTCACTCCAATTAGCTCTTGGGGATGTCATTAGTCTAGGGGTTCACATACTTTTTCCACCTGCACTCTGAATGTTTACATGGTGTGTTCAATAAAAACATGGCAACATTTCATTATTTGCGTGTTATTAGTTTAAGCAGACTGATTGTCTATTGTTGTGACTTAGATGATGATCAGAAATCCATATCATTCCAAAGGGCTCACATACTTTTTCTTGCAACTATATTATATACCATTTTTCTCACCATTAAATAGTCTTTCTAAAGACACCATTATTTTCATCATATCATATAACTTACTATAAAAAAAATATAAAATATGATGAAAAAAATTTAAAAAACACATCTTTTCTAACTTTGATCCCCAAAATCTGTTACGCATCTACAACCGCCAAAAAGCACCCATGCTAAATAGTTTCTAAATTTTGTCCTGAGTTTAGAAATATCTAATGTTTACATTTTCTTGGCTTTTTTTGGAAAGTTATAGGGCTACAAAATGAACACAAGTTACATTGTAACACTGATATCTGTTAGGAATCCCTGAGTAACTGTTTACATGTATATATTTTTTTAAAAGAAGACAACCTATGGTATTGAGGTATTTCGACTTTTCATGCAACTATTTAACCACCTATATATGCCAAATTAAAAAAAAAAAAATAAGTGATTTTTTTTTTTTTTTTTACACAAATAGCAATTTAAGAATACATGTACTGAGAACTTTAAAGGTTACTGCCAAAGAACACCCCAATATGTACAGTGTACACCCCAGTATGTACACTGAGTACAGTGATTCCACCCATGTACAGGTTTGTCGGGTTCTCTGGGGGATTAAAAACCTTATTTGGAGGGTGTGCATTCCAGTTTTCCAACTTGGAATTTTCAAAGCTGATCATCATGCACGCATGTCCTATTTGGGACATTTTTTAAGCCGGCCAGTGTAATTTACCCCCCATCAAACCAGATATTTTTCAAAAGTAGACAACCCAGGGTATTCAATATGGGGTATGTCTAGTCTATTTTAGTAGCCACTTAATCACAAACACTGGCCAAAATTAGCAATTAGCATTTATATTTGTTTGTGTGTTAAAAATGCAAAAAACAACTATGAACACTAACTTTGGCCAGTGTTTGTGACTAAGTGGCTACTAAGAGACTGAACATACCCCAATTGTAATACCTTGGGTTGTCTTCTTTTGCAAATGGTATGTCATCATGGGGGTAATTCTCATTCCTGTGCTTCCGTACACTATCAAATGCAACATAACCAATCTGGCAAATTTCTATGTGAAAAAACAGCCTTATATATATATATATGACCCTGTAACTTTTAAAAAAACTATAAAACCTGTACATGGGGGGTACTGTTATACTTGGAAGACTTAGCTTAGCTGAACACAAACACAAAAGTAGCCCTTACCATCTGAAGAAAACAAGATCCCTAAATCAAAAAAAGTAAAGAAATCAAAGAAAACTTGACATTTTGCCTCTTTATTTGTAGGCACACAGGTTGTATATCGGCAAGTATATAAAAATATTTTTTCTATACCTTAGCAATGTTGAGCACCAGTTCATATTGAGCCAATTTCAAGGGGTTAATTTTAGGTTTTAACAGCAACTAGCCCCAATGCTGGGCTTGCTTTTTCTTTATATGTTAGTACATCTCTCTGCATGTGTATTTCCTTTTTTTGGAATTTCCCCCCCTGTGCAGTGTGCAGAGTTTATGTGCTTTCAGTCTATATTTCACACGTGCTTGTCAGTATGACATGAATTTTCGGCTGCCGATCTCACCCTGCTATTGATCTTGTGCGAGTTCCACATGTTGCTTAGCAACAGTTTGGAATGCTGTATCTACCTTCTCTGGGTGCCTCTGTCTGCAAGCTGAACGTGCAAGCTGAACGCGGCTGCTGGACTCCACACACACACACGAGGCTGGTGAGTTTATGTTTTATTATGTATATATTTGAGATTGAATCATGTTGTCTGTGTTTTTACCATACTGATGAAAGCCCAAATATGGGGCTGAAACGTTGATTTATTTTGAACATTAAAAGTGAAGTTTTAGTGATATTTACAAGTCCCTGAGTGCGGTCATTCTATGTTTTTCTATGCTATTTGCCTGACCAGCACCAGGCACATTATTTACCTGTTCCAGGAGTGCAAGCAATTTTGTATTATATGTATAATATAATATGTATAATATAATACAAAATTGCTTGCACTCCTGGAAAAGGTAAATAATGTGCCCGGTGCTGGTCAGGCAAATAGCATAGAAAAACAGAGAATGACCGCACTCAGGGACTTGTAAATATATTTATTTATGGTCAGGAACAATAAGCAGAGTTATGTTAGTGGTGCACAAGTCGGTTGTGGTGTGCCGAAACCGACATTCGGGTAGGCCTGTAAAAAGAGGGCCCACCAATTAAAATGGCTTGATAAAGGGAGTGGAGTGGTGGGGTGAACCAGAAAGTCTCAGCCCAGAGGGAGGGGTGATCTGTGTATTTATAGCAATATCCCCTCCCACAACTAAAGGCTCCACCTCTCCATTTGTGGTCAGGGACAATAAGCAGAGTTATGTTAGTGGTGCACAAGTCGGTTGTGGTGTGCAGAAACCGACATTTGGGTAGGCCTGTAAAAAGAGGGCAAAAAGTTAATAGTCTAACACCTTAATACGGGTCTACATTAAACCATCAATACACTATCAGCATTTATAACCATACCAGAAAGAGAAAATTGGTTAGGTACTGGCTGACCTATGTTATGCCAAGTGGTGAAACAATTAAGCTAAATTGGTGACTTGGGAACCTAACTAGTTGCCAAGTGGCAATGAGAGGATCTACCTTTGATTTGGCCCATTGTGTATGTTTGCCACCGAAGATTGTGGCGGGGTGTTGGCCTCTCGGTGAGGATTAAAGAGATTCAAAATAAGTTGGCTGTGACAGGTGAGGCCCTAACTGCTTTGCCAAGAGGGCAGTGATGTGAGGCAGTAACTATGATTTGGCCTGAGGGGCAAATACCTCCGTAGTAATGGCACAAGAAGCTGAAAACTACTTATGGCCACTTAGGGTACCCTAACAGCCAGTCCAAGCTAAAGATAAGTTTTGTAGAGAGAGTGGTTATTGTAAGAATGGAGTTAGTATCGTAAAGCAAGTCAGTTACGTGGTGACTTAAAAAATGTAAATGCAAAAGAATAAATGTGGCATTATAAGATATACACCTGGCAGATAAATGAAAGCTATGCTAGAAATTGATGGTAAGAATGGAAAGTGGAGGGCAAAAGAAAAAGGTTTACCGAGATCCAAAACCAAAATCCAACCAGAGAGAGAGAGACCCAAGAACTTCGTGTTCATAATTCAGAACTACGACACCAACACCAATGAAAATGCAACAGTTTGACGGTAAGGTAGGTAAAGTAAGTGCGAAGCCCAGATTCCAAAATACTCTATTAATATCGGTTACCAAACTAACAAAAGAATTTGAACAGTGTGAAAAATGGCTCAGTTGACTATACCCCCAGATATGCAATGGTCGGCATAAAGCATACCTGGTGAGACTTTACTTACTGATATAGGTCATGAAAGAGTTGGCCAGAATAATTGAACAACAAGACCCCTGTAAAGTATATGTCAGGAGGTGAGGGTGTGGTTCCCAAATTATCAAGCTGAGGATAACCAGCCGCAACTGGCATAGTGACAGAAAGGCATATTATAAAACATAACAGTGCAGACATGTGGAGTAAATGAAAATTAACAGTTTTCATCAAAAGCCCCGACCCGATACCTGTTTGTACCGAATTTAAGCATGAGTTCCCTCTGCACATCCTTCCACTAGAAGAACCTGAAGTGTGTATGAGAAAGAACACCCTGAAAAATCCCAACCATCACATTAATCAAATCCCATAGCGTACTACAGGAATGAAGTACCAGAACTAGCAAGTGCCTTAAGGTGGAGGTACTAAACTGTTAAAATAGTGACAGACCAAAGAATCCTGGATATGTTAAATGCATAGTGATAGGTATCAGGTTCTCGGGTGTGTACCGAGAGAGCCTAACGAGGCCATGTGTAATATTGGAATGTGGTATGAAAGGTTGTATTTCTTTGACCCTTGTATATTAGAAAATTGCCCAAATGTGAGGACGGAATTGCCATAGTGCCCATAGATGGCCATGTGTAAACATATGGAGTGAAGGCCTAGTGAGGGCCATGTGTAGAGGTATTGTAGTGGAAGGCAGAGTGCCCAATGTTAGTCCTGAGCTGCTGAATTGAGAAATAGGGCTGTATGAGGGGTATGGATGTATTGAACGAACAAAAGAAGGATAAGCATACCAAGATGCAGGTGTTGTGAAATGGACAATAGTGAATACATATTTTTTCTTTTTTGGTCCAGTCCATTTGTAAAGGTAGAATTATAAGTTAAGCTAGAAGGATGGTAACATGGCATGCAGTGGTGTCCGACTATAAGGCCCATGCCAAAGGATGACAAGTATACAACCAACACATTAGATTATATGGTGTCTCAATGTAGTTGACTTGAGACATAACATTGCTAATACTGTGCAAGAACAAAGTGACAGTATGTGAAGTAACGCTACAATGTATAGAATAAGGGATTAGCATACCATGGAGTTTTGCAGGCAGAATAAGGGCTGTATAGGCCTAGCGAGTATAAGTGGTGTAATGAAAGGTTGTAAGAAAGAGTGGTGTATACATATAACCCCCATGCATCGAAAGGTACTTATGCATTTCGGTCATATTGGCTGCCCATGTATGATGGGAATGAAATGAAGGCCCAGTACGGCCGCGTGTGAAGGTCTTGGATCTGAAACAAGACCAATATAGCATTTATTCACAACCTTGCTATCAGTAAGCAGTTTCAATAGGAAATCTATGAAGGATATAAGCACTCGTCTAAATAGATATAGGTGAACCGAAGTGCTTAATCTGAGGTCAAGATAATGTACATAATGGAGGAATTACAACTACCCCATGAGAATGGCCAAATGAGGGTCTTAAGGATAGATATGTTGCCGATAACATGTAGAATAATGGGGTAGTATGCAAGCTCTGTAAGACTGATGTAATGCAAATGAAATGCCTAAATGAGGTTTTGAGCTAGGACATGGCATGTAGCCCACTGTGGGGTATATGACCGCACATTGTAAAGGCCATGAGTAAGAAATTGCGTAGAATACCAGAAGATGTCCCAATTTGTGTCCTGAGTTACAGGAGGATTGTGTCGCTGTGTTGGGATTAATGCAGGTGAAGGTAGGATGTGAATCAGAGAATTGTTGTGGAGAAGTTGTATGTAGCCAAGAGATGTTGGTGATGAGATAGAGTTACTAATAATCATCTAGTTTATGAAATGGTGAAACTGAATAGAACTTGTATGTAAACACTTATAAAGCATCATATAATACATACCCACGGAGTCAAATAAAACAGGGTATTGGCAGACAGAATTAAACAGGAACAGAGGCCTCTAGAATGCCACAGTGGCTGAACAGGTTAGCGGCTGTGACAGCCATACTTAATCGTTAGGAAGAGACAGGAGCTATAATATATACATTAAAAAAAAAAAAAAACCTACATGTGGAATGCTTAGGAAGATGAAAAATACTTTGCATACACAACAGGCATGGAAGATAAGGGTTGAAAGCAACAGCAAATGCTATAACAATGGTAGAATATCTCAGTAATATTATCAGCTAAAACTTGCTTAAATTGAACATGACTGAATGAGGTTAACATAATGCATATAGACCCCACAAATAAGACAGTAAAAGTAATCACAATACCTAAGCCGGCCTGATATGGCCAAATATGATTGACATGTGTAAGTGCAACCAATAAACGAGTGACTTAAGTGGGCTGAAATGTTAACAGTGTCTAAAAAAAGAGGTTGTACTGTATAAGGAAACCAGCGCGGTCAAATGCGGACTGAATTTATGGAAGGTGGAAAATCGATGTGCTTGAGTGGTAGAATGAGGCCATAGCAGACAAATCATAAAATGCAGTAATTGAATTGAAAGCCCCTACTTGGCAGAGTAGGGCTTAACTGTAGGGTACGTTAAAACACTCGTAAATTAGGGCTTAATACTTACTTATAAATTGCTTATGATTGGAGAAAACTAACTCAAAGAGGTACTCCTGACCCCCAAAGCACTTAGTGTGTGATTGGACAGCCACAGAAATATCAGGCAGGTAGAAGCAGCAGACAAGAGAACTGCAGA